GCACCATCTAGTGTTTTTTTTTTTTTTAAATAAATCCTCCCACAAAAGTACGGGACAAACTAGATTTAGATTTATCCAATTAGCTTGGATGATTTAATCCTGATGCATTCTTGTAAGTCGTTTTTGGTAAACTGTCTGCTGAATGCAAAAATGGAAATCTAACATTGACTCTTGCTGCGGGCCATGTGAAATCATATCCTATCCAAAACTTTTTTTTGTTTTTGTTTCCAGCACTGGGAAAAAAACTACCAGAAAAGAACCTTTGACAGTATCCCTGAGGAAGGACATTCAGCTAAAAAGGGCCAGAGTTTTAGAAGTTCTAAGGACTATTTCAGCAAAAATGTGACAAAAAAGGCTTTTGAAATTACTTTTACAAAAGAGAGTGCCAATGTTTTTTTTATATTTAGATTAATCAACATTTACTGAAAAGAAAATATATAGAGGGGAGAAATAAATATCTAAGATGATGGCTGGGATCAATATCTATCCTATCTGACTTTACAGTCTTTTGAAAACACTTCAGCAGCGCCTTACCTGTGGAACCTGGACACAGACTGCTGATTTGTGCTTGACTGAGAGCCGTCCTCCTCGTCCTCGTCCGTTTCACTTTCATCAGAGTCTTCCTGTTGCCACCACAAGCGGAACGCAACTATGAGAATCAACCTCCTCACAAAGCACTGACGCAGAGGGCTGCGAGCCTCCGGCGGCAGAAGAAATCAACACCCACCTCCTGGTCCGACTCCGTTCCAGACAACTTCTTGTCCTTGCCTTTGGAGCTAGCCCCTCCATTCTTACGACCAGAACCTGGCCTTCGACCTCTGAAGAGTCGGGGAGGGGAAAAAATAATATGAAGACACATGGATGAAACAATATTTTGAAGATTTTCTGGGTCAGTGTCAGACTCATCTGTGAAGCATAAAATATAACTATTGGAAACTCTGAATTATTTCAATTAGCCATATCGTTAGCTGACAAATTAATAATACGAATTAGTCTCCTGGAGGTTTTGTAACTTTATCAACTCTTTAACCATTATGCAGAAGTGAAATATGATGTGTCTTAGCACCGGCAATACCTGCGAGAGACTTTTTCTCCTCCCCCCTCGGTGTGGTTCTCTTCACCGTCGCCCTGCATGTCTGGCACCGTGGCCACCAGGTCTTTTAAGAAATCAAACTGCTGCTCCAGCTCAATGCATTGCTTTCTGCGAACAAACATACACAACTCTCAATGGCTGGCTCATCCTTAAGCAATAAAAGAAAGTCAGCCCAAAGTCAAAAAACAGTACTAGGACTGTCTTCCATTATCTTCCACAGTCTGGGTCAAACTAAAAGTGAAGGCATTTGGTCTTCAAAACTACTTATACTACACAGAGCACAATAGTCAGCACAATGATCATCAATAAAAGGTACAAACAGAGACTTACAGATGTGATGTTGTCATTGTCTTTGCGTTCCTCGATTGTGTGACGTGACATGCCTTAGTAAGCAATGACTCCAAAAAAAGCTCAAGGGCTCTTGCTGATGTTTCGGTAAAGGAAACCACAACACAGTGAGTCAAAACTCATTACAAAAATTAGACCAATTTACCTCCAGGGATTTCCCTCTAAAGAGCAGCCTCCGAAGGTAAAACTGATATTCAAAAACTTAAACAACTTGATAAACCTTAACACATCAAAAACCCACTCTTTGGACTTAATAGTACTTCTAAATCTCACCATTTTCCATAAATTATATTACAGCATAAGACTTCCAATAACACACCCAAGAAGCATTTGAAAACAATACATTTGACAAAAGGATACAAATAATAACAGGAACTGCTGCAGCAACTTTGCCTATTTCTTCATCAGTCTGCATAATCTTCTTAATCCTTGCCTAAAAAAAAGAAACAATTTTTAAAAAATTGTTTGTGAATACAATACCTCATGTGTTTAATGCATCATATTATTAGAACTCAACAACATATTACATAACAAAAAAAAAACAATCCACTCTGACCCAGTAATCTACAAACTGCTCATTTATGAGTTACAGTGGAAAATCAAAGAGCACTAATATATACTGTACTCCATCAAGCTTAGCTTTATATGCTAAAAACAACTATATTAGCAGGATAATATATGTCGATCCACTGAAATTTGTCTTAGAAAAAAAATATCACCTCGTACAATTAGTTTGCAAACTGATTTAATGAAAGCGAAAGTATCTCCGAAATCTACCTTGAATTAGATAGCTTTCGTTTCCTTCCTGACTTGTTTGCTATTTAGCAACAAAAGAGGCCAAATCCCACTTAAACTAGCTATAGCAGCTAGCTTTAGAAGCTAGCTTTCAATTCAAGTTTGCTAATCTTAGCTAGTTTAACGCCGGTTCGAGGAAAGTTTTCAACTTACCGGAGGGAATCTTGCATTATATTTCTTCTTTTTGCTGGGCATAATTAAATAACTCGTGTGGTTTAACAAAAATAAAAAACAATATATTCTGGATTATAATTTATAACAAATATAATCCACCTCTACCGCACATACACCAGATAGCAGTAGCTATCCGGCTAACTCGTTAGCACGTCGTCGTCACTCGTTCCTTGTTGCCTGGCAGGCAGGTCAGGTCAGTTTGGTTCCGCAGGGTCACAGCGCCGTCGGGTTCCGCCAAACAAGCACACTTCGTTCCGCAACATTCCCAAAGAAAGACAGGCGAAAATATATATATATTTTTAACGCACCGTTGTTGCACGTGGTAGGTAAAATAAAGCAAACAACAGCGTGACTTAGAAGAAATGTGCTATATAAGTGTATTAACTGGACCAGGGACCTTGCGTTTAAGAATATGTTTTGCCAACGTGCTAGCACATACAAGCATGTACAGTATTCAGTAATTTAATGATCAAATGAACGATGCGCATTTAGGGTTAGGAGTTCGGAGAATAGAATAAGGAGTTGTTGAAATGCCAGACAACTCAACGGAGTTGCTCATTGTACCTGGAAGAGGACATATTACTGCGCTTGTGCGGAAGAGTGAAAAGTCGGACAGCAAACTTCGACATTTTCAGGTAAAGTGAACGCTGCTGTCAGACCTTTACGTTGGATTTGAGACATGTTTTGTTTTTTGGCAGGTTAATTATGTTAATTAAGACCTTGGTGGAAACAGCCGAGTGGAATAATAGTTATTTTTTCCCTAAACATGCTTAAAAGTCACCATTGATCGAATCGCTGGATTGATAGCTAGTCGGTTAGCTGCAGCAAGTCGGGGGTTATTGGATGTATATTTTTGTGTTTAGCGACATAATAGACGCTACACGGGTGGCATATGTGACAATTTGTTATTTTACATAACTGAGATGGTGGTTACGAGCTGTTATAGGAGCTCAGTGAATGTTCATAAGGCTGTCGGCTAGCTAAGTGCGCCCGTAAACAATTCAGCTTGTCCAACAAAGAAAATTGGTTTAGTCAAATGTCAACTACGTCACACTCATTCCTCTTTCCTTTTTAAAATCAGGGAACCTTTCGAGGTCCGTTTATTGGGATTTAGTTTAACTGCGTTATGGAGGAAGAAGAGGCCCCTGGAGATGGGGAGGTGGAAACCCCCTCCACGGCGGAGAACTACGCCGCCGAGGCAATGGCGGCGGACATGGACCCCTGGATCGTTTTCGACTCCAGGAGAACTCCCCGGTCCGAGTTCGACGGCTGGCTGGAGACCAACAGGCCCTCGCAGGTCTACAGGTTCGGCGACAAGGAGGGCCGGCTCAGCCCCGTGGGGTGGATCGCCGTTTTGGGCCCCGACCACTGCCCCAGCGGCGTGGACGTTGAGGGTCTCCAGGAGAGCTGGGAGAAACTGTTGTCCAGCTGCCGGCCGGTCACTTTCCACACCATCAGAGAGCTGGCCCTGAACCACGGGGTGCTCTCGGGCAAGTGGCTCATGCACCTGGACTCGGGTTTCAAGTTGGACCATGCCTGGGAGTGCGTGGCCAGGGCCGCTCTTGAGGGCAAAATCTCCAGCGTCAAAGTGAGCCCCTTTGACCCCAAGGGAGAGATCAAGCAAGTCATATGCGCCTACAACCAAGACTTCACGGACGAGGGCGATGTGGTGCGGCTGGACTCTGTCATTCGCGCCACCGGGGTCAAGTGCCCCCTGTCTTACAAGCCGGACGTGTACACGTACCTGGGGATCTACCGGAACAACCGCTGGAAGCTCTGCCCGACCATTTACGAGAGCAAATTCGACCTGGAGTGCGTGCCCAGGCGTTCCCACATTATCAACAAAGTCACCAATCTGGAAGTGACATAAAGCCAGTCTTCCAGATAAGAGGCCTTTGTAGCGGGACTGTTTTATGAAGAGGCCTTTTATGATCTCATTACTTGGCTTGTGCATTACTGAAAGGGGCGGGTGAGGGGGGATTCAGTATGTTTTGTTATACGACGCAACACTTATGGCATGGCTGAAATCATTTGAGTTCCAATTTCATGTTCAAGAGGTCATTTGCATGGAGTGACGGAACTCCACATTTTTTTATGTTTGTGCTTCCACCCCCCCCCCCCCTTCTTTTTGTACTGAAATGCGATATTAGCGCCTGGCAAAATAAAATGGTTTCGAAGGCACAAGTCTTTGGCATGTTTTTGTTTTTATTGCAAAACAGAAAGGTGTTTTTTGACAGGTTTAGTAATTCAGTCAAACAGAAAATGGTACGATTACCTTATATATTTTCTCAAATTATATGTCAGAGAAGGGGGGGGGGGTCGGACGATTGCACCTCTAAACTGCTTTACGATGGATTGCGCAAAACACGTGACGCACAGGTCCTAGACTTGAGTTCAACTGCAGCTGTTATGAAGTAACAACAAAAAACCGATCGGATAACATGGAGTTCTAGTGGCAGGTGAAAGACAAATTCTATGTAAGCGCAAACTTCTCTATATATATATTGCATGTTTGATTTGTTATTTACATACAGACCTTCATTTGGTTCTTGACGTGTTTAGAAAGTAACTGCTAACCTTCAGAGAACATAAAAAAAAACAGAAGTAAATAAGGGATACTTGATATCATCATGGATGAACTAGCGTAGGCTTTTCTTCTGGTTACATTCTTAGAAATAACAGCCCCTTCCAGAAAACGGGCAGCAACAATTGTTCGGATGACGGTATAAAAACATGCTAAGTGTGTTGCGTCTAAAACCGACGCCTTGTTTCTTACAAACGCCTGGAGATGCGTCCACCGCGCCGTCGCAGGCCGAGAAAGTTGGCGATGGATGCTAAATGTGGGGTTTAATTAGCGGGAAGGAGTCGGCTACGTTCAGCTGTTTTTGTGGGATTCTTTTTTTTTTTTTGCTACGTCGTTTTGCCTCCCAGCTCTTTATGTCTATCCTCCTTTTTATTTTTTTCCTGAAATAAAGGGGGGTTTTTGTAGTCCTGAAAGCTAAAGGAGCAGATAAGAAAGGGTTCTTTGAGCAGTGGTTTTAAAAAAAAAAAGGCCCTTAGGTCGGGTGTCCCGACACGAACCCGGGTTGGCTGCCGCTATTGAAAATGGAAATGAGGCGTTCCTCGTCTGAGGTCAGCAGTTCGTCGAAGTCGTCGGTCATGCCCTGGTAGGCGGTGCCGCTGGCGAACTCGCTCATGTCTTCGTTCTGCAGCAGGGTGACGATGCTGGTGGGGTAATTCATCCAGGTGCTGCCCGGGTTGCCGGCCGGGTCGGAGGGGTTCTGGAAGGCCGCGGCGGGCTGCGGCGGTGCGGGCGCTGCGTCGACAGCGCCGGGAAACGCGGCCTGCTGGCACGCCGGCAGCGCCCCGCCTCCTCCGCCCTCGCTCATGAAGCGCGAGTTCAGGAGGTCCTCGAAGTCGTCCATGTCTATGCTGTCCAGCGTCCCCGGCACCTGGGCCTCGGAGAAGCTGGGGAACTCGGGGATGTCCTCCTCCGTCTGGTACTGCGCGCCCGCGACGGGGAAGGGGCCGGCGGCCTGCGGGGGGGGGGGCGGCGCCTCTCGGCGCGCCGGCCGAGTCCTGGGTCATGACCGTGGAGATGTTGGGGAAGATGTCCGCCAGGTTGACGGTGGAGAAGGCCTGGCCGCCGGCGGACGTGGTGCTGGAGGAGGTGGTGGAGGTGGAGGAAGACGACGAGGAAGAGCAGGGGGGCGGCGGGGCGTTCATGGTGAACGTGGGCACCGGGTTGGCCTTGGGTTGGGGCCCCAGCTTCAGGCTCTCCATGATCTTCCACGTCTGGCTCGTGGTCGCCGCCGTGATGGAGGAGGGCGTCTCCTCCTTGTGCTGGAAGAGCTGGCCCGGCTGGCCGTAGGAGAAGGGGGCCTGCGGTTTTGACCCACTGGCAGCAGGGGGCGCCTCCGTAGCTGGAAACACACACCAAACCACATTTAAGAATGACCGTCAACATCTTTTTAAACTGAAATGACCAATGAAAGCAGTCTTTTTTAGTCTGTTTTTTTTAAACAAGGAGAGAAAAGGTAATATAAGCTTTGTTGTTGGTCTTTTTGTTTCTTTAAACAAGTAAGAAATAAGAAGTTAAATGAATTGAAGTTCTAATGTTTACTTTAGAGGTCTGAAAGCAATCGAATGAGAAGAACTGAGTGGACACACGGGACACACTGACCTGCTGGCATGCTCATTGGCACCGGCTTCGCCGTGACCGTCCTCCTCGCACAGTTTATTTGCCGTCTGTCTTGTTGAACGGGCGCTAAAATGGAGAGTTTTTTTAAATAATGGTGAAACTTCCCGAAACAATGTCACGGTCAGAAAAAAAATCGTCAGCGTACCTCCAGAAAGCATGGAGCCCAGCTTCAAGCTCTGGAACATGTTCTCAGTGCGCTTTCTCTTCTCACTCAGCCGGTATTCATCTGCGGGGGGTGGGGGGTGTTTTGGTTTAATTTTCGTTTTAAAAAAATAAATCATAGACGGATGCTTTTATTTTGAAGAAGAAAAGAAAAAATACCTAGGTCGGTCGGTAAGTAATGGAAATCAACCGGCTCGCTGACCTCGCGGTCAGAGGGCCGGCGGAGCTGCATCTTGACCTTAACGGGCTCGCTGAGGTTAGTGTTGTGGTAGGGCGGCGTGCGGAACACGATGGCCACCTGCCTGTGGACGTCGGCCTGGGAGAAAGTGCCCTTCCCCTCCCAGGAGTCCTGGAAGAAGCGCACCTCGATGTCCTCTGCAAGCGGAGAAAGGAGGAGTTCAACGACGGTTTTAGTCCATTTTTCATAATCCAAAATATGGACGTCTCGTGTGGTTAACTGCACACAGACCTGCCAAGAGGGCACGACCAGAACGAAGGGGCGAGTAACCTCGAATTTAAAAAGCGAACAAACCAGAGCGCCATCTGAAACCGGCTCACTCTCGGAGGGTATTTCACACACTTCCTGCTCACTGTTTTCGGCCCGATTCATAAAAAGATAACAGGAAACCGCTCACGCCGTCTGTTATTCCGTCAAAGACGAATAAACATCGTAAATAAAGGTGGCGCGTGTGCGGCAGCCTGCTCCTTGGAGTTGTGACACAGCAAACGGGCCCATCTCAGCTTCCTTTTTACGCACGTATTTCCCTTTTTTTAAACTTTTTTTTGCAGTAGCAATTGTTTAGAAGGAAGCAGGGTGTAACATATATGATCACCTCCTCTTGTGAGAAAAATACAACAAAAAAACAACCCAGAATTGCCGGGCCCGTTGCCTTTGCTAGCCTTGAGTTCATGGATTTTGTGTAGCTAGTTTTATTATCAGTCAGGCTTCTCTTTGAGCATTCGCCACTCAAAAAACAAAAAAAAGAGCTGACTTTTCTGTGGGCGGGAGTGCTTTTTCCCCCCTGTTGACGTATCGACTTTCACGTCTGCTTAGTCACATCTCGATTCTATTTATAGGCCCTTTGGCGGCGTGTTTTTTTTATTTTAACCTTTTTGCACTTTGTCGCACAGCAGAAAGATCTCATCCCCTCCTTGGCACCGTCCCGAGTTGCGGTTGATCCGGCAGATCTTCAGCTCGGCCGTGTTTGGGGCCCCTGCGGGGACGTTAAAAGCATTTAGAACCAGACACAGTACAGATACGATCATCAAAGGCAGCCGTATAGCCGAAAGAAAAGGAAAAAAAAAAACGGGGACGCGGCTTTCTGTTAAAAGGGATGTGGGTTATGATGGAGACCGATTCTTCTTAAGACCTTCAGGCTGACAAGAAAAGGAACAAAGAGTGTCTGTGGAAAGCTTCCCCAATACGTAAAGGGATCTTAGCCTCTTTTAAACGATAAAACCTGTGGTAAAGTGAATAAACACTCTTGTGTAACCACAGGTGGGAACTAAGTGTGATGGTAAAAAGTGTGTAGCATTTCTTAATATTGTATTAGGCCATTTATGTGTTACTGCCCACCATGGAGTGGACATGCCTGGCGCTCGCTGACACGAAAGAATAATCCCACACACTCAGCTGGAAAGAATTCCTAAATTCCTCCTGCCCGTTTCTCTCCTCCTCCCAGAACTTTGGTCGAAGTGTTTATTTCAGAGAAGTGAACAATGGAGCCCTGGTCTCCGCCTGCTGACTGCACTCCGTTAGCTCGGCGTGTCTAAAGCTGGCTCCTAATCCGGGAAAGTAAAAAAATGAAAGCGAAGGAAGTGTCGGGTAACTCACTGTTGTCGTAGATGGGCTGCGACACCACGGCCTCCAGGGGAAAGAGCTCCCCCGTGGGCAGGGTAATGGAGGCCTGGAAGCAAAGCCGCACCGAATTCAGGTCAAACTCCTCCTCCCACACCTTGGGTTCGGGAACTGTGGTCAAAACAGAGAAAGGAAAGGGTGGAGGGAGGGGGAGTCGGGGGTTGCAATCAGAAAACACAGCGCTCCGCCAAAGCGCCGCTTCCTGTCGAGCTCTGGTGGAGCATCGAAATATCAGAGATTACTTCTCTCTGACAAACCGAAGCCTGAGAGAGTCAAACTTTCACACAGTGACAGGTCGAACCGCGACATAGAGAGACCTCTGTGTGTGTGTGTGGTGTGTGTAGGGGGGGCTTTCTGACGTACTGTTAAAGGGGTTGTTGTTGGTCTGCAGTCTGCAGGTGATGGCTTCGTTCACGTCCTTCTTCTTCACGCACTGGATGCCCAGGTTCTGAAAACTGAGAGCAGAGAGCGGGGAATCAGAAACCGGCCTTTAAGGAGGAAACACCGGAGGGGCTGTGGCACTCTCACTTTCACATTTAGAGAAATTTTGGAGAAGCATAAAGGCACTATTGTTCTTTGGCGGAGCGGAAAGGAAAGACTTTTATGGGGATTGATCATAGGGAACACCTCTTTTTCTCACAATCACTGGGAGAGAAATGAGGCTGGGCTCTGGCTACCTCCCTATTCAGTTCCTTTAAAATTCGTTTAAAGCCAGTGAAGCTTTGAAGGTCCAGATCTTTCACGATTGCTTCAATTCTGTGAGACGTAATGAAACATTTTTACCTGAGCTAAGGGGCTCGCTCGTCTCATTTGCTAACTTAAAACAAAACAAAAAAACAGCTCAGCTGACTCCATTTGCATCCCTGCTGAGAAGAAAATGATCATAAATGGATTTGATTCATCACGTTAATGTCTATTAGGTATCAAGATAATTAATAACTCCCTTTTCAGAGATAAAAAAATAAGCATATAAATAAAAAAAACACCACTGAAATGTCTTCTGGTCGTACTGAGTGAGTATTCTCATGTCACTCTGCTGTCTTCTTCACATTTTTCCACATGGAAAAGCACCAATTCACGTAAACATCATCAGAAGGTCCCCGAGGTCATGTGATCAGGGCATTCTTTTTTTCTAAATAAAAAAATGCGGTTCCCACTCTCTGGAACTCCCTTACTCTGAGCCTGACATCTTTACTTGTATTGTATTTTCTTTTTCCTTTTTTTTTTAAAGCAGCTAAAAACATCTTTTTAAACTAGTTTTTGATTCACTATTGTTTCTATGTTTTTCTATGCACATACACATTTCTTAAGGAAATTATAAGATCGACTGTTAAGAAAAACTATCATTTTCAGCACACGTTTTAGATATCGTGCAGGTACTTGTTTAAAAGTTAAAATCTTACTGTTATTTCCACCCATAATAACCTGAGAACTTCACAGCATCCTTTGGTCTCAATAACAACTTCCCTTCGCACTCTTTATGTTTTTTAATCAACTTTTTGACAGCTTTTCTTATGATTGCTAAGCTCCACGTAGTTTCTAGCTGTTCACAAAGGCTTCTTTTGGAATAAACCTTTGTTGGATCAGTCTTTTAATCTACAAAATCCCACTCGCCCATTAATCTGAGTGCTCCAGGTGTTTCTTGATGTTTGCAGGACTCAGTAACGGCTTCTTAGCAATTCATCAGTCGTCAGTTTTAATGACCATTCTGTAAAGATTCTCAAGCATTCATCTCTCTCTGACGATCACTGGTGGTCTTCTTTCTGTCTCTTGTACATCAAATCTTGAGGTGCCTGATTTCAACCACTAAAACTATATGTTTCTGTTCAGGAATGACGGTTAAAAATTAATTTAAAAATACAGAATTTGACATATTAATCAACACACAATGATCTCCTTCAATATTTCTTTCCTATTTTTCCACATTTTAAAAATAAATGAATTGTATTAGCCATGTATTAATTTGTAATACATTAATTACACATTAATACATGTGTATTAATGTGTCATTAGCCATTAATGAATCATAATTTTTATACCGGTAACTACCAATGCTGTTCATTTAATTTGGCAATTTGGCAAAAACTATCCACTTGGTATTGTTCTAAAAAAAACGTAGTAAGCCCAACACATTTTTAGTTTTCTGTATTTCGCCTGTTGGCACATTGTGCTCTTCATTTTGAAAGGTGGTGTATGTGTAAAATGCAATTTACTGTGTTAAAAAAAGGACAGTCCCGAATGATTTTGTGTCCGACAGCTTACAGTGAGTAATCGTGTAGTTTTGCCCCCTCCTTTCTAACTAACCAGAGTGTCATTAAAATAACCACATGAGAGAAAGAAACCACTCGGATTTACTCACTATGCGTCATTATTGTTTCAGTTGTCTGGATGCACATTCTGTTTTGTTTGGATTTCATCACTTTGGCAATAAAGAAAAGCAAACATAGTTCCCTCTAGCTAGAAGAAGCGGCTGCATTATGTCATTTCCAACTTCAAATATTACGTAAATCAATCTATGGTCAAATCCTGGCCATTTGTCTCCCTTCGTTTTTATGAAAGCCCTCAAACGCAACAGTGCTGTTTCCTGCTCTAGCCAGGACGCTCCTGAAAAAAGAACAAAACGAGGCCTTTAAGCAGACGACGGCGGAGCCCGAAAAGGGAAGTTCAACTCTTTGTTAGGTATCCTGTCAATGTTTTACCCATCAGGACACACAAAGAAGAAGGCCACGGGCTAAAACAGGGGCTAAACAGGTTGAGATTATCTCTTAAAGACTAATGAAATCCCAACGGGGTCTGCGGGACGGCCATAAAACACAATAAACACATTTACAATTACAGCATCGCCTTTCAAGATGGTGACGCTGATTACAGTTGAGCGATGAAGACCATTCGACGGCTTAACAGAATTTTTGGAGCAGAGAAACAAAATACACAGAAAGTGTTCTTTCACACGTTTAGGAATCCAGAAATCGGACAGTATTTTAGTGTGTGCAAGGCAAAAAAAAAACAAGGAAAGAATTCTGAAAAAAAAAAATCCACCTGTGTATTCGTCTTTCTTGCAGGTCGGCCTCGTAGTAGCCGTGTTTACAGTCTTTGCCAACCAGCTCGTGCGGATGAGGCTTGTACGGCGGGTTCTTCGTCACCAAGGAGATGCGCACTCGCAGGGGCCCATTGTAGTTGTGCACCTGTTGGGAGAAACGGGAGGCATTTTTATGTCGTTGTGGGTGCGCTTGTTTTGAAGGCTCTGCGCCTTTTTGGCTGTCTGGACTCACCGCTAACTGGAAAAAAAGACAAACAACAACAAACAACAACTTTCAGTTTGCTTTCAGCACCTCAAGATCATATAATCTCAACCAATGAGATGTTCGTGTTCTGACATGCAGGAGATGTCTTTATCACATTCCTTGGTCAAAGCAAAAATGTCTGGCCTCCTCAGTTTAAAAAGGTGGGAAGTGGAAACCTGAACTCTAACGGCAAATTCTCGTCAGCAGCTCTACAAGTCGCTGAATTAAAAGCAGAAAGGAGATCATCGTCCAGGTTCGATGTGCCTTTCAGTACTAAATGGCTAAAACGAACTAGTTGGATGCAAAGCAGCCCATAAAAGCGACAGTTCCTTGCGTTAGTTAGACTTTGAACGCAGCACAGGTGAATGGGTTTTATGTACCCGAGCTTTGAATGAGCCGAAAGCTTTCGAGATGACTTTCCATCGTCAACCTGAGCCGATTCAGTGTGCAATCTGTGGAATCGGTGGCAACTTTTTGAAGCGACATGTGCTAATGGGTTAATCTGAGTTTAGTGTGGTAGCAGCAGGACAGACGGGTATTCCGATCTTAAATAAACTACGTAAAATCAATGTTGTGATTCGCTCTCAGTCCATAAAATCCAAACTGGACAAAAAACTTGATTTTTGCCCATTTTTAAAGCTTGAGAGAAAGTTTAATGCCCCCAAATAGAAGTTAATCAGTCAGTGCTCACTGCCTGTAACCTGTTGAAAAGATGTGTAAAATCAAATAGATGTGTCAAACCATGGTGGAAGAAGGAGCTAGGCCGCTGAAGAGATTTCATTAAACTCTCGGAAAACAGTGCCAGCTCGTCAAAAAGTGTTTCATCTGTTTCCTTTAGCACTCGATGGGAGAGGTACTGCTTGCTGAGTGACATTTTTAAAATACTTATACATGCCACAATTCTCTGATATGATTATCATGTTGGAATTATCATTAAGGGAATAGATGGAAAATCTCCTGCTGGACAGCCTTTTCACAGTGGTATTGGTGAGTACTAAATGGCCTCTTTTAACTTGTCATAGTTACTAAACTAATATATTCTATCCGTGTGGGTTCTCTCTGGATACACCAGCCTCCTCCTACCATCCAAAAACATGCTTGTTAGGTTTATTGGACAGTCCCTAGGAGTGAATATTAGTCTGTGTGGTTGTGTGTCTCTGTGTGGCCCTGCAATGGACTGGTGACCTGTCCAGGGTGTACCCCGCCTCTCGCCCCTTTTTAGCTGGGATAGGTTTGCAACTCCGTTGGGAATAAGCGGTATAGAAAATGGATGGATGGATGTTTCATAATCAAATATTAGTCAAGATCACTGATAATAAAGATCCATCGATTTTCGTAACCGCTTATTCCCTAATGGGGTCGCGGGGGGGACTGGACCCCTATGCCAGTAGTCAATGGGCGGGGTACACCCTGGACAGTCCCCAGTACTTCGCAGGGCCTGATAAAAAAGATAATAAATGCTAATAAGACACCCCATCACAGCCATCCACTCTAAAAAAAAAACAATATATGGATGCTAACATCCACAACAATCATGACATGTAACAAAAAAAGAGCAACTGAGGGTGAAAACTGATTAGATTTTTCATTTTGATGTCCTAAGGTTCATCTCAACCAGATAGCAAGGATGTTCAATTTAAAAAAGTATTCAAAAGATTGAGTTTATCTTGTGTTCAAAGGAAGGATAACCTCTTTTCAAGGTGTAACTCCTAGCTTATAAAAGATTTCTAAAAAAAGAAAAGATTTTTGAAAATAAAAAAGCTTACTTGACTCTCTTTAATGGGAAAGTCCTCTAAAGTGACAGAATGGAACAGAGCCATGCCAGCAGTTTTTCGCAATCTGCTCTGCGCACCTGCATTGGACAGCTTTATCTTATGTACACAATGTTGTTGACTGACTTCTTGTTTTACTTTTCACCTAATCATTTTTTTTTATCTTTGAGGCTCTATAATGGCCGACAACATTCCATCCTAACTTCCTGCAGATAAAATCTCCAGAAAAATCAAAAGGTGGAACAATATTCACACATCAGTCTCATGAACACTGACAGCTGCCGGGTAGCTTACGAACTCCGGCTTTAAATCCAAGTGGATTTTAGGTTTTGGCGTTAGCTTCATAAAAGGCATTAGAGCCAAGAAACGTTCAATAAAAGTTTAATTTGACCCCGTGAAAAAAAACGGGGTCAGATTTCTGCACTTTTTACCAAAAAATGTTCAAATCCATGAGGGTATTTAATTATTCCGTTCCAAGAGATCCCACCCTTCTAGATCTTCACACTGTTGGGGGAAACTGTGATCATTCCCGCATTTTCTTGGTTGGCCCAGCACCGATATCGATCAACATGTACAACAATATGTACAGAATGAGTAATAACTTTGGAAAGGGACTAAAAGTTAAATGGATCAAACTTCTTTTTGGGCTGGATGGGACGATACATTTGATTGGAACCACGAGCATTGTCGCTTATGAGGCTCTTGCTTCGATCAGCCACACTAAAGACAACTGGGGTGATATTTTTTTATATCTTTAGAATGGGGAAAAAATCAAGTCAACAAAGCAAATTTGAGAGACCATGCTTCCTACCCTTGCTCAAAACTCCCACATTTCTGTGAACCATTTGTCTATGAACTTGTTCACCAATACTCGTGTATAATAGAACACTCTGTAGTCCGTTCTGGGTTTTTTTTGTAACTTTTTTTTTTTTTAAGTTGTGTTCCACTGACCTTGATGGCTGGATACGTTTTAGTGGTATCGTTGCTTTTCTCTCCTGGGATGCTGCCAGCGGAACGTCCCTCGCACTTGTACCTGAACCTCATGCCCCTCTGCTTCGGCTGCTCAATGATCTCTATGTACGGGGTCGCCGGCTGGACTAATGGACACAAGAAAATAAAAAAGAGAGAGAATTCAGAGACTTTGAAACAATGTAGGCGAGCTTCCTCACCTACATTTCTCACCCTCCATCTCTCTTTCTCTGAAAAAATAAATCACAGTGTTAAGAATGTCAAACACTAGTTGGCCATTGTTCAAAGTTGTATCACGGTGCAAAAATGTTTACACAGGAGTGCTGCTTCTTACCTGGGTTGAGAGGGGGCAGGCCCCATCTATACACACCTGCAACGACAGAAAAAAAAACTTTTTTAAACTACGTCTCTGGGGTACACTCGTAGCAAACAGTTGTTTATCATTAGCAGTACATGACGCAGGATACAGTGGCGGTTCAGATGACAAAGAAATGTTTTTAAAAAACACACAAAAAAACTGTTTCAGCACATATTTGTGGTTTAGTACGAGTTTGTCATTTGTGGTGTGGTCTGGGTGGAAAACTACCAGACTGTGCTGCGTCCAAAGAGGTCGCAGGACGCCGAGATACACGGGCTTCCAAGCTAAATATAATTGTCGATTCTGAACTGCCTGCCAACTCCCAGCGAGGAAGAATTGAGGCGAACTGCAAACAGTGACAGACCGGGTATAGAGGAGGGTATCAGATTACCCGCTTTGTTGCTGGAAGTCTTCAGTGTGAGAAATTGAAAAAAAATGCAGGCTCTATTGTCAGGTGCTCGAGAGGGCAAGGAAGTAAAAAGGTATGATCAGGATCAGGTGGTCAAAGCTCCACCCTTTAGCTCACAAGACAGGTTAACTTAAAAAGGATTCAAAAGGAGCCGAATGTTCTCCAAGCTGTGACATGTCTGCTCTGTAAGCCTCACATGAAAGCATAAGAACTTTGATTTTTTAGATGGATTTTAAATTCAACGCAAGCAGGAGTTGATTTGGACAGTCAGACTTGAAGTCACAAGTTTAAGTTACTTTGTAAATGAATAGGGGGGGGGGGGGGGAATACTATATTACAGCCAATGTAAGCAAATAAACGTGTATTAACTGTCCATTATTATTTGAGCCAAATCTCTCTCTCTGTCTCTCTGTTTCTCTCTCTCTCTCTCTCTCTCTCTCTATATATATATATATATATATATATATATATAAATAAATAAATATAGTTTTCAACTGATATGAAAGTGAAAGCAAATGGCTACCCCATCACAACATTGTCTTAAAACGTTGAATGTACAGTAATACAGTAGTAAACACACCGTCCATACAACAGTTCCACTAATACCACAGTTTGTGCTCAGCTAATGTGTTCAATCTCTATCATTTCCGTGTGTTAACAATTGGGTGGGCGTTTACGAGCATATGGTCCAAATAAAACAAGGATTTTTAACTGAAATAAAACCCACTTGCCGGGTTAAATGGAAGCCGGATACGGGGCAAAGCGTGTTGCATGACAAAATCATTGCTCAGAACGCGATAGGTAGAATGTGTTAGCCAAAGTTGATGGGAAAACACTAAACCGCCAAATTTCTGTATGCGGTATTGCCCTCAATCCAATGGGACGAACCCGACGGGCCTCCTAAGAGACCGACACCAGCAAGTGCCAGGTAAATTAATTCCAGAAATGCAGTATCCCACTTTATCTCCGATATTCCACATCGGAGCATTCGCAGGAAGTAATCAGTGTCAACTCTTATCGTTCGCCGCTTTAGCTCGCGAACCGGGAACTGACTCCTCCTGTTAGCGCAAAAACTCAACGATAGCGGGGCTTTCCCTGTGCGCAAAACAACTCCCCGTACAGTTTCACCTCCAAGTCTCGTCGCTAAGTAAAACAAAAACACAAAAACCTTCCGCGTTTTACCGTTCATGGCTGAGTCCGAGTCCGACTCGCGGTTCTCTACCGACACCGTCTTTTCTCCGTTGTCTCGTGTGTGTGTGTTTTTTTATGCTAAAAGTCGATGCGAGGGAGGCAGCGCGAGCTCCGAAAAAACTTCTTGACACGGCCGATCCGTCGCCGTCTTTGCTCCACCTACATCTGTGAACTGACGGAGCGGACGAGTTGTAAAGTGCCGCTGACACATGTTCAGAAGCTCACAGGTTTTCCGGTAAGAGCAGCGATGACACACAGTACAATACCTGTTTGAAGAACAATGTGCCGCAACTTCTTGTTTGTTCGTTTTTTCGCAACGGGGCTCTCAAAGTCAACATGGCGACTTTAATCGGTTGCTAAAAGCTACACAATGTCATGTCATTCTAGTGTCTCACGTTTTGTCTTTCTTGGCGTGTTGTTTTTGTTGACACATTCCCTCTTGAGTTTTGAATAGGTTTGAACTATAAATAGAGCCACTTAGCAGATGGGTGGATGCTTATAATAAATAATAAATGAAGGAAACTAATTCAAACTCCCATAGACAGCTAATTACTAATAACCAATCATTGTAATTAAAATTCATATCCTGTTATTCTTTGAGTTTTTGTTCGTTCACAAGGTAATAAAGGGGTAAATCAATTGTTTTGTTCGCTATCGGTTAACAGCGCGCGACACCAAATGCTAACAGAGACACTAAAGTTATCTTATGACTTCAAATGCATGCCCTTATTGTGTAGGGTAAAGCGTGTTTCCGGTGTTGCTCGATAGCTTCGTGGCCGCATCTAATTGCCTTTCCTTCGCGGAGCAACACCCACGCAAAACACTGCGGAAATACTCTGATGACGCACTTTAAAGGAGCGAAGTTAATGTGCGAGTGGGAGAGGCAACAACATAACTTTCAACTGTACTCTCAGAGAAGAAAGTGAAGGGCTGTCTCTACAGTTGGTTTGGAAGGCTTTCCTCAACAGCAGTAATACAGAGAACACACCCAATACATATATATATATGGTGTTTGTCTGTTCTTTATGTTCTCTCTGTTATTTATGTTTTGTTACCTAATCAGTATCTATTGGGTTCTTGAAAGGAAATAGACTTAGTTAAAACATAAATAAATTCTAACCAGCAGGGGGCGATCAAGGTGAATGAATCACGTTTACTGCACACTTAGAAATAATCTTTTCCACCTTTCTCCTTTTTGCAGTTTATTCCCCCACAAAGCTATATTCTGGGGATAAAAAAAAAGAAAAAGGAAAGAAAATGTCACATAGTTAATGATAAGATTGTAAAATGACTTGTTCCAACTAATGTCAACCTGTTCTTCTGGCTGCACTGTGGCCGGCTGAGGAAGACTACTTCTGGTCACCAGAACTGCAGAGAAAGTGATCACCTGTTCACCACGCTGCCCTCAGGGAAAAGGTTCAGATCCCACGGAAGCAAAACAAAGAAACAGACTGAAGAACAGCTTCTTCCCCAGGGCAGTCAGAACTCCGAATGCAGCAGGCCATTGAGACTGCACAGGTTCCATCATAGTCATGCTGCTACCTCATAGCCACTTATGTCGATGTCCATGTCCACAGTTTAATGTGCAATAATTTACTTCATAATGTTATCTTAATATTTACGTGCACTATACAAAGTCCCTGCCCTCCCCACCACTATTTATGACACCTTTGCACATGCCCCATGGTTTGTTGTTATAGTTTACATCCCCCTTATTTCATTTAACTTTTGGATTTTTTTAAGACTTTTTCTTCCACTGCTGTGGGTTGACTCCACAAATTTCTACTTGCACTTTCGTGGTCTTCCTGACAAATTTCGTTTTCTAAGGTTGTAAAAAAGTCTTGAATCTTGAATGTTGTTCATAAACTGCTTGCAATAGTTCTTTGCTATTGTTCCCTTGCTCCTTGAAATGACACAAATACTTTTAATTGTTAATATTAGTCATTTCAAACGTTAAGTTTTTATTTAAACTCAAACATAATGTGTAACTTTTGGCACCTTCAACAATATTTAGGACTTGTCCGCATGCAAAGCTAAAATTACTCACAAAGGGGATTTACTGAATGTTTAGTGAAATTTTATACTAAAATGTTTATTATACACGCTAAATACGGCATTGGTATATAGGAGAATCGCTATTTAAATTAGGTTGAAAAGTTCTGAATTCCCAGCTTTGTATGCAACTTAAATATCCGAGGTGCTTTGAACGCGGCATAATGGCTCTTTTAATGGGAGGAGGTTTGCGTTACGTTTTTGTGCAGTTAGGCGTGCCCTCCCTGTCTGCTTCAGACTGCGGCGGGCAGAGCTGTTTGTTACAGAAATGGCGGAGGGGGAGTTGGACGTCGATTCGTTGATTTCCAGGCTTTTAGAGGGTGAGTTTTCTATTATGTGCGACCCACACGAGTTACCCTAAGAGCAGCGTTCACCTCCGTAGTTACTTATACCGAATTTTGTCGCGACTTTAAAAGCAAAGAGCCCGCATTTACTTGCTAGCGCAGCCTGGTGCTGGAGTGAACGGGGCAGTCAGGATATTCACGGGCACATTCGGGCTGTCACTTTTTGTAAATGTTTTGTCAAGTTGCTATTAGTTCCCGCTTTTAGACACTCCGAATTCACCATAAGTTGATATTTGAATGTTCTTTCAGGGGTTATTAATGCGAAAGTTGCCGTAAGGAGACTGTCTTTTTCCCCCTTTTTTTTTCTTGTACCCCCTCTCCAGTTAGGGGAGGAACGTCAGACCCGTCTTAAAAGTAACTCAGCTGTGAGCAATTTCTCCACTGGCCTTATTGAATACTTCATTATCAAAGTCACTCTTCTTTTCATTTTTCGTGTTTTAAAAACGTGAAAAGTGTAAAAGACTTACTTTGTAAACTATACTCGCGACCTTTGTTTATATTTTCTCGAGCTCGGTACTCTGTACTCGACTTTGGGTGGCCTCCTCTTATTCTTAACAAACGCTAATATCCTATTAATACAAATAGTTATTTTTTAACCAATTAGGCCGAAAACGTTTATATAAATGTATAGTTTTGGAGGTGTTGAAAGAATGTGATTTTAATTCGTATAATGTGAAGCAGCGACCAAGTGTGTGTGTGGGGGGAAAAATCTCAAGTTTTCAAAGGAGTTTTGTGTTATGGGATTCTCAAGCAAGGACGTCGCACGCGACTCCTGTTTCTTTGCTAATATTGCTAATATTTACCTAAGTAGCAGGCCTTGATGATAGATTGGTTTAGAATAAGCCAACAAGGATTGTCCCGTGTAAGCATTTCCTTAGTAAGAAGGTTTTGCCAACCTTGTCCCACTTGTCATTTTTACTTGTACTTTATCCGCACTGTTTTAAACTATATCTGGTCAAGGATTTTAACTCGACTGCTTGTATGTATTGCCATGGAGAAACACTCTCTACCAGATGGCAGCTAAAACCTTTAACTGTGGTTAAGGCATTCTTTCTACTTAAGTCGTTAAGGGTCCTGTTTGAATTGTTTCTTTGAGTAATGTCACCACTTGGAGTCAGTGAACTGGACAAAAAGTACATCTGAACTTTCGAAGAAAAGGCTCAGCCACTGTTTTGTGTTGGGTGGCAGTGGTGGATGACCCTCTTAGTTGTGCTAAATAAGGGATCTTGGCATAACCGAGCCCGATATTCCTTTTCTTCTTCTTGTTTAGTCACTTGAGAACACAAGCCGGCCTGTGTGTTCACAGTAAACGTAGAGACAATCGAGCCAGTTGCTCATGTCGCACACACACACACACGCACACACACAGTCCGATTGGCTGTTTTGGATGAGATGCTCCTGGTCATAGCAGCGGGTAGCATATTCACATAGTTGCAACGGAGAAGTACATGGTGGTTTAACCAAATCATCTGCAATAATGACATATTGGGATGCGTTTGCTCTCTGTCATTAAGGTGTAAAGAAGGAAAACAGTGTGAGCTTGTGTGCTGCTGTGCGTTAGCTGGCCCTGGCCTTGTATTTGTCTGCTTGTGCATGGAGAAAATGGGGAAAGTAAAAGAAAATGTGACTTTTTTTGTTTGTTTTTTGGCCCTGAAGGATTCCAGATGTGAGCTGTGAATGTATCCATTATAAATGTCCTTTCTGTCACTTTTTCTATTCACCCAAATCCACTCTGTGACTATCTGGCTCACTTTTGAACATTCTTTTTCTTCAGTAAGTTATTTCTTGACTGTAATTAATTTCAGTACCACAACAATGAAGAAAATTATACAGATCTGACTAAACAGAGAAATCGAGTCCCACATAATTCACCAGCAACGTTATGACAAGTGTAAAACATCTGGACTCAAGCTAGTGGTGTGCTAAAGTTTGATAGAAATGGCAAAAAAATAACTTTTTCTAGTGTTAAGTATCACATTTGGTGAGCGAAACTCTGAGGCCAGGATTTTATACTGAGTAAAAGGGAATCTCCCACAAACAGGCACTCGTTCCAGAGTTCAAATTGTCTCTCGTGTATCACTTCATCCTCACTTACGCAAAACTTCTTTTATTTTTAGACTTGCCCTTTTAGCTACACAAAAAGACCTCTCACAGGCTCTTACTTGCATCTGAAAGATTGATATGATCTGAGTTTTGTGTGGCCATGTTTAAAACTTGTCTGTGTTCTTTTTTTTGTAATTAAAATATTGTCCTGGCATTCCTGTGAGCATGATCAGGGAGTTATTTCTCCTCTGTACAAATAAAGAGGACCTTTACTCCAGTGCGACAACTTCTTTGCCTCTCCAGCAAGCCCTGCTGCCAGTCAGTCAGCAAACTCGCCGGCACAGACGCACTTATGGATCGCTTTCTGATCTCCGAGTAAATGTCAACAGGCACAGCTGTCCCTGTTAGAAATGAGCCGCCCCCTTTGGCGGGGGCAGCGTGTGGTACTGTAACACGGCAAAATTAGTTGTTGTTTTGTAATTCCTCTCTATATAAGTTTCTAATAGCGTTGTATCAAGCGCATTAATAAAGTGACGGATATTTAGTAGATAAGCGTAGCGTTCGCTGATATTTTGTCTTCTAGCATGTAAATAATTCAAGATCATGAGATAGAGGACCACCAGGCCATCTGCCCTCTTAATGAAAGAGGAGAAATGCTCCACTTTTGAAGGGACCGGACCAATCTGGTGTGCACCAAGGCTGAGTTCTGGTCAACTTCACGAAAAAGGAGCAGCACAGTGTCAACAGCTTGATGTATGAATGGAAAATGAAGGCTATTTGGATGGTGGGTGGTCAG